AGTTTCGGGGGTATATAGTTTTTGTCGTGTCCGTCCGTCTGGTTGTCTGTCTCTCTGTCTGTCTTTCTGTCTCTGTGTCTGTCTAGCTGTCTCTCTGTTTGCCTGTTTGTCCGCAGAAACTTTAACCATGCCGATAACTTTTGATTCAGTGGGGCTATGACTTTCATATTTCAAATGTGTATTTCTTGTGACAAGACCTTTCTTTGGGTACCACCAAATTTGTCCTTTTGACCTTGACCTTGGAGTTTGACCCACTTTTACATAAACGTTCCAAACTTTCAAATTGGCTATATCTTTTGAACAATAAATACCAGGACATTTATACTTCACATATATATTATTTGTGGAAGGACCTTTCATTGGATACTAACAATCTTGACCTTTAACCTTGACCTTGGAGATTTCCGTACTTGTGAAATAACTTGACCATAACTTTTGAACGGTACGGGATAGGGCTTTCATACTTCACATATGTAATCCTTGTAAGAATACCCTTCACTGGATACCAAAAACTCTGATCTTGACCTTGGAGTTTGATTTACTTTTAAAAAACAAACCTTGACCATAATTTTAAAAGGGTTAGAGCTAGTGCTTTCATACTTAACATATTTAAACTTTGTTACAAGACCTTTCATTTGATAGCAAGACCTTTGACCCTTTGACCTTGACCTTGGAGTTTGACCTACTTTAAAAAAAATTAACCTGAGCTATAACTTCTGAACGGTTAAGGCTAGGGATTTGAACGGTAAGGGATAGGGCTTTAATTCTTCATATACGTAATCCTTGGTCCATGCGCACTATCTGCGACCTTTAAAGACCCCGATTTTTTTTTTTTTTTTTTTTACAAAAATAGTAGGTTCCATCAATAAAAATTAAATCATTCAAACTTGGTTTTTCATAAGAAATATGTTGATATACAATAGATTTATACAGAACCATTAATTTTAACAAAAACGTCATTGTCCACGAACTTTTTGGACAAGCCTCGTACGTAGATTCACTTAAGTATTTTTTTTTCATTTTTTTCTCATATTTGTTAGATACACAAAGGGTGATAAAAAACTGTCCCCATTTATTTGGACTGTGAAATTTCCATTTTCATTGCCTCTTCATACTACATGTATGTAAACTTTTCAAAGAGAGCGGCATTGATCATTTCATTTAAACCTAAGCTGGCCAAGTCATCCTATTCCTTAACATGGATTGCTGGAAAATATTTCCATAACCAGATAAGTGAGGATTACAGGTATTAAAAACCTAAAGAAACAATAAGGCAACTGTTTAAAAAGTGGAATAATATTTAAATTTTGAAATTAACTCACATAAGATAAATAAAGGGAAAGAAATACAAATATTACAAGTTAGTAAATGTAGTGTGTTTAATAAACAATTAACTTCTCAGCACAACAGCGTAGATGAAAATAAGGCTATGTCTGGTTGAATAAAATACAATATGCAGAAATTATTTAGCGTTTTCCTAAATATATGGAACATGTATTTGCTTGATAAAAAGGGGGGAAAATGCACAGCTGATTGTCGGCAATTGGTGTTGGAATAATAAAATGTATCGAAAATATAGGGTTTTTTGTCTTGGATTCATCGATTTTGGTTCGGCTTCTAATTGCAACCATATGGTATTCTAGCCTCTGAACCACTGACAATTGACATATTTGATGCTCTCCTGTGAATACTTATATATGGTTACATGAGTATGACGTCTACTGTTATGTAAGAAAATGAGCCATGTTACTCTAGTGAGGTTGTATAACGTATACAATAGAAAAAAATTACACTCCACAAACTATTAACTAATAGCGAGGTCACTTTTTCACCCCTGATTTGGGGTTATCTTGGCAGGCGATGTCACTGGATGAGAAAGATAACCTTGCTGAAAGGTAAAGTTTGCACCATATGAAGCTTATGGCACAAAGAAAAGTCAACGATTCAGAGTAGACTTCATATTCTCAATGAATCAATAGAGATAACGAACAATATTCGAGCTCAAAAGTCTATTAAAATTAAAAAATAGGAATCACGTGATGAAATTGAGCTCGAGTCGATTTTTGCTAGTGTTCAAAGAAAATTTGGAAGTATTAAAACATTTGAGACAGGGAATGAAATCTCATTAAAAATAAAAGCCCAATTGAATTTTGAATGAGTCAGACAGCTTACAGCCGAAACGCAGTCTCGAGAGATTAATTTTGAATCGTATTTTGAAATGGATTTTGAACAATATTCGATTTTATAAACTTCTGGATATTTCATTAAAAAGCTTATGGGTAAACATGAAGCAATTTACTTTTATGTGGGAAGTATTAATATTAATTCCACTAATTTGTAGATGTATCTGCTGAGAAGTAGTGTTATCTAAGTATTTTCATAATGAAAAGAAGTATTCATACTTATGTATGTATCGGTGTAATGAAACATATGAATACAAGTAACGAACAGTATTCTAGATTAAAAGTCCATAAAACAATATAAAATAGGAGAGGATAGCAGAGCAAACACGAACCTTCAAAACATCAGAGGTGGGATCAGGTGCCATGGAGGAGTGAGCATCCCCTGCTGATCGGTCACACCCGCCATGTGCACCTTGTCATAATCAGGAAATAATGGAAAAATCCGTCGTCAATTCAGTGTATAAATAATGGAATTAACAATTAGTATGAAAAACGTCAGTCGGCATTTGACTCATTGATAAATTGTATTTGCTGACAAGGTCATTGCATCGACCATAGAACTTACGAAATGATGACTTGAAACGAGACTGCTGATATTCTTTTTTCATCAACTTGTTTGCCAATAATTTACCTCGTTTTAGAAATTGTTCATGCTCTTGCGTATCGAAGCAACTGAAATATATAAACTTCGTATGCAGGTGATGAAGGTATTGCTGCATTGTGGCAACGCACTTTGAAAAACTTACGCACTTTGAAAAAAAATTTCAAAGTGCGTTAAATTTGGGACAAAATCAAATATGTATGTTTTTATGCAAACTTCGAGGATTACCTTTCAAAAAAATTGAGAGAAGACCTACTCATAACGAAAAATAGTGTTACAGTGTGAAAAAAATGACTCGTTTTGTCCTCTTTCGCGTGTGTTTAATATTTCATAGGCAAATAACTTCAATTTTCATGAGATTTGTACAAGTTGTAGAGATTTTACATAAAGTATACTTTAATGTTAGATGAAATATTAAGGGAAATTTTGATAAAATTGAGATTTAATTTTTCATCTTCATGTTTGTCGCGCTGTGGGCTTATCTCTCGTCATGTTCACCCATCTCCTTTAACGCACTTTGAATTTTTTTTTTTTTTCAAAGTGCATAATTTTTCAATGTGCGTTGTAACACTGCATAAACAAGGGAAGTTGAGGATAAAAAAGTTAAAGGCATCACGTTTATCATAGAGCTTGGTTGTTAGATTACTATTAACGTCTTTTTCAACTAAAATATCCAGGTATGAAACAGATGTGTCAGACCCTGGTTTCTTTTATGACGTGATAATGCATTGACTAGAGGGAAAATTGCGTCATTAAAATAGATACGTGGTCACCAATATAGATAATTCAATTTCATTGTGGTTGTTGGGAATATTCAAAACTGACATATGTTTTGACTAACTTCCTTAGAAAGCTATAGCAATAGTTTTGATTACCACCTGTGGAATAAATGCTCGTTCCTCTAAAATACAATTATTTACTATATATTGAACCTTATAATACAATGTTGTTGCCTGCTTTGTCAGCAGGGACCAGTACATTCTGATCGTGTAATCTAATTCTTTTTTCACTAAATTGAGTAACTGAACCCCTTTTTTTAATTCTACTAAATAGCACTTCATAGTTATAACTTAAGGAAAAGAAACCATTTAAATTATGAATATTCTGAAGTTAATTCTCTGCGTTTGATTGAATTTGGTAGAAATCCTTTAAGTGTAATTCATTAACATACTTATAGTGTCCCAAAGATGAAGTAGAGAACAATACTTAAATATAATTTTCTTCATTTAGAAAAATGCAAAACTATTTGAAAAACCATGCTATAACATCCACTTCTATAGCTTAAAACTCTTTCATTTGACTTTGTGATATATGGTACCTGATCCCACCTCTAATGTTTCGGAGGTCCGTGTTTGCTCTGTTCCTATTTTGTATTGTTTTATGGACCTTGATATTGAATACTGTTCGTTATCTCCATATCCTTCATTTACCAACTGTCATCAAAAGTGCATTATTTGCAATGATACTAACGTTGCTGTAAACGTTTAACTGTTGCAAAACACAGGTATATGGATTTAAATAGAGTGTGTATTGTAAGGTAGTTTGATCAGATGATCCGCACCTATCAACTCTACATAAGACTTCTCTCCGGTGTAAGCTACTATTATAATGATAATTTATGGTTCCTCTCTAAAATATAATACACCAAAACCTTTATGACCAATAATATATCTTTTATCGATTAAACAAAGCAACTTCTCCTTTTCCTTTCTAATACGCAATCCAAAACCAAAAGAAAAAAATCCCTCGCGTATACCGTATTTCCGTTATCAGCTTCAGCTAGTAGTGAAGCACATATCCGAAAAGTTAGATCATCGCGTTAAAATTGAGCAATGCACATTTAGGTATATAATAAAATAAAATTTATTTTATAAACAACTTTCTTTCTATGTAAATGAGTTGTAATTACTATTTTCCTTTGCTTTCGAAAGAAATATAGGAAATTTCATTTGCATGGTGTACCTTTACATCGGAAGGAAAACCTTGTTACACATTTACCAGGAAGTCCATGAATTTTATGATTTTTTTGGCCCGTAGACGCTTTCTAAATGATAATATTCAGTTAACCATCTTATGTAATAGCAAGCACCAGATGCAATCAGTATACCCATTTCAAGGTAGTTTCTAGACGGCTATTTAATGCAGAGACAGAACAAAGATAAAATTATTCATCACACTGTCACAACTGCAGAGCAGGTGAATGCTTGTTGCAGAATCCTCCAATGGAAGGCTTGTTATGACCGCGTTCCCTGGTTACCGTTCTGCTGCTAAAGCTCACCAGCGTAGATGGACAAGGAGATTGAAGACACAAGCAGCAGGAAGGTGAGTATTTCTTATCGCAGAAATTTATTTGTTACCTGTTTTGATTTCATGAAAAATTCGTAATATCAAAATGATTTTTTTTAACTAAATGTTTTTTAAAATAATTTCAAAAAAGTACTTCTTTTAATGGAGATTTTGTATCGTTTTATAGAGAGTATGTGAGTCTTTGTATAATATGGTCTTAAATATTCAAAAATGCTAAAACATAGATACAAAAAAAGCAAAAGTCTAATATAGAGGTAAGTAGATAAATAACGGTTTATAAATCGCAGGATCTAGTTCTTTGGGTATCATGCAGGTAAAATGTATAAGGAAAAAGAAATTGTCTTTAAAATTTGGAATTCATAGTTACATTTAAAATTAAAAAAAAAAAAAACATAGAAACAACATCAAATTTCCATTATTAACTCCTGGTGTAGTGTAAACAACCATTCTTTTTTGGATCTAAAAGAGAAATTTTGGTTTTTGTAATTCGTTATTTCAAAGCTTATTTTTTTTAATTAAAGATGTTTTTTTGTCACTTCTTTTAATTGAGAATTTATAAAACTAAGGTTTAAATGTTACCTTATAATTTGATATACAGGACGGCGCGGTGCTGAATTACAAACGGTGTTTTGTTCCACTTGACCCATTTTCAAATTCTAACCATTGCAAGCAATCGTGTGTACAGGGTTTATTGTATAAGAATCTTCTCGGTATAACTCAAGTTAATCCTGCAAATCAAAGTTTAGAAGAAATTGTTTTTCACATTTGTATGTCATCCCCGCCCAAGGGATAGAATTGAAGGCTGGAATTGTTTGTCCTATCATAAGTAGCTCACGGCGGATGTGACCTACAGACAAGGGAAAACTTACTCTTCTATGGCACTTGATTCCATGTCTAATATTTTGGATGATCTTTTCTGGATCCAAACTGTACTTTTGGCATTTAACTTAACTTAGATAAATGTTCGAATCTCCTTACTTCAATTGAAAAAGAACTATTTTTAAGCAAAAATTAAATTTAAAATCAGATCAAAAGGATACATGTTTAAGAGAATCTAGAAGAGAAAACAACTTGTGCGATATAAACAAGTATGCATACTCAAAGGATACTATTATTTATGTTTTATAGTTTGATGTTATATCAATTAATCCATCAGGAGAACTGGGTAAAAGGCGTTGATTTACCCTGTCAAGAAATATTGATGTTAAAGCCTACAACTTTAGTCCTGGGAAATAATGAGGATATTTATCACTAAATTTGGCAATTATTGGACATAGAATTTGATGTGAATAAATGTATAATCAATAATGATAGTATTAATATGCAAAATGTCGCAATGAAATTTCATATCTGCGGCTCAAAGCATATTGCCATTTATGGCATATTTTCGTACGACCTGGGAAAACTATTTCGTTTCTTGTAGCAATCAATCACCCTCTGGGTAATAAATATGTTTTCATGCAGTAACATATTGCAATTTGTTTTTGGAAAAATAACAATACAATATTCATTTTGAGCAGATAGATATTTTTTGTCTACTCCCTTATGAGTTTGACAACGTTGGGGATTTAAAGAAAGTGTTTCACATGAGTGTTTGCTCTGCTCTCGATTTATACGAGTATATGAATTTATTAGACTTTTGAATATAGTATGATTACTGTATGGTATTTTCATTTTTTTTTCTAAATGATTTGAAAATTGGCATAACTATATCGACCTTTGATACGAGACAGAGCTCTAATATGTATTTAATATCTCATGTTAAAGGTTCATATTCTTTGGATTAATTATCTTAAAGTTTTAAAGTCGATTATTTAAATAGGACTTCATTTATAAATGATAGGATGTTACATTTGTATGATTATACCATGGGTATTTACAAATTAAAATAATCCATCTTTCTTTGATACTTTTCAAATTGACATCTTAAAGATTAGTATTTTTCGAAGTACTTTGCACATTTTCCATACTCGTCATGATTTTGTCGAAATGTAGCGCCGCATAACGAAATTATGCCACAAGACAGGATAAAAAGTATTGTTCATCTTTAAAAATAGAAATTTTTACCACTGAAAAGAATATTTTTTTTACATTTATGGCCTTAAACTTTATAATTTTGCAGTCGTTTGTATCTTTTGTGATGCTAGATTCAGCAAGTAACCCTAGAAGAATAACAGCCTTTTAACAAGAAAAGCAGTCGAACAAATGAGAAATATTATTATCATCTTGCGCTTTATAGAGTTATGTTATTGTACAGAAAAGCAAAAATTATACGTGATTTGCACTGTTTTTTAGTTAATGCAAGCAAAAAATCTGCTTTAAAAAGAAGGGGTACATAGATGGCTACATTTGACGAAAAACCACGAAAAAAACATTTGGAACTATCACAATCCATAAGCCAAGAGTATATCAAATTCCTACCAATAATTATATGTGAATTATGTTTAAGTTAGTTAAATAACCTTAAAAGTAATTTAGAAATCACTTTAGAAATAAATTTTGTTGTCTAGTTACACAATTTTGCATAAAAACAATGTGACGTTAATTTGTGCGAAAAACCACGTGAGCTTAAAAAGTGCGTTGAGCTGTATATTCCAGAACAATACTAAACGTTTTAAATATAATTTTTTTGTGTTTAATTTTCCATTTTCTATAAAATTTATATTATAAATATATTTTGATGAAATTTGCTATTGAAAGATTTATATTTATTAGTAGATACTTACAAATGCATATTTTTAAAACCTGAGTCCTAATCCACGGTATTCTTATACATTGCACCTGATCCCACCTCTGATGTTTTAGAGATCCGTGTTTGCTCTGCTCCTATTTTGTAATGTTTGAAGCTTTTGAGCTTGCATACTGTTCGTTATCTCTACATATTTCATTCTACAAGAATGTCATTTTTAGAAAGAAAAAAAAACCACTTTTTCACAAATCCCAACAATCCATTGGAATTCCCATAGTTACGAATGGCGGCCTGTTATTAACAGACCTATTTTGTTATCCATATGAACAGAATTTGTCCAAAATCATATACGTGTAAAGAAGAAAACGCTTGCTGAGGCCTTCAACTTGACATTTAGATATATCGACGATGTCTTGTCAATAAACAATGGTAATTTCCATTCTTATGACGATAAGATATATCGCGGTGAGCTTGAGATAAAAGATACTACAGAGTCTGACAAATCTTTTTCATAATTGGATATTTTACTTGAAAAAGACGTTAATGGTAATTTAACAAACAATCTGTATGATAAACGTGATGACTTTTCAATCATTAACATCGCTAACTTATATGCAGCAATATACCTTCATCACCTGCATACGCAGTTAATATGCCCATTTGATCCGATACACAAGAGCATGCCCTACATATGAACAGTTTCTTAAACGAGGTTAATTACCGACAAACAAGTTGATGAAACAATATCAGCAGACTCGTTTATAGTCATCATTTAGTAAGTTTTATTATCGATACAATGACCTTGTCAGCAAATACAATTAACATTCAAATTCTGACTGACGTTTTTCATACTAATCGTTAGTCCATTATTTATTCACTGAACTGACAACGGACTTTTCCGTTATTTCTCAATCAAGACATAGAGCACACGGCGATTGTGACTGCTCGGCAGGGGATGCTCACTTCTCCATGACACCTGATCCTACCTCTGATGTTTTGGAGGTCCGTGTTTGCTCTGCTTCTATTTTGTATTGTTTTATGGACGTTTGATCTTGAATACTTTTTGTTATATATCTCCATATTTTTCATTTAAAAAATTTTGCAAATGTAGACTGTTTCGAAATATTTTGATTGTTTCGTTAATAATGTTATGACTTCTTTTTGTGATTTAAAATTTGATTTTTTTTTATGAATTAATAAGAGGTAGAATATAAAACAGTCACATATTTGTTCGTCACAATTGATTGTTCCTACAGGTACAAATGGTTGAAGGAGAGTCATAAGTTAAAAAAAATATACAGTGATTTTATTTTAAGCCATCACTTGCCTACCCAGCATAAAATAGGGAGGACACATTTATTACTCAATTAGATTTTTTTTTAAATGTTGACCGCAAAACAAGTCATGTGTGATGAATTAATTCACGTTTTATTGATCTATTTATGTCGTTTCAAATTACGAATTAACATATTTACTCCCTTATGAGTTTGATAACGTTGGGGATTTAAAGAAAGTGCTTCACATGAGTGTTTGCTCTGCTCTTGATTTATATATGGTTTCATTAGCCTTTTGAATATAGTATGATTACTGTATGGTATATTCATTTTTTTTTTAGCTAAATGAAAATTGGCATAACTGTATATTCCAGAACAAAACTAAACGTTTTAAATATTAATTTTTGTGTTTAATATTCCATTTTCTATGAAATTTATACTATAAATATATTTTGCTATTAAAAGTTTTATATTAATTAATAGATACTTACAAATGCATATTTAAATCCTGAGTCCAAATCCACGGTATTCTCATACATGGCACCTGATCCCACCTCTGATGTTTTAGAGATCCATGTTTTCTCTGCTCCTATTATGTAATGTTTGATAAACCTTGAATACTGTTCGTTATCTCCACCTATTTCATTCTACAAGAATGTCATTTTTAGATAGAAAAAACACTTTTTCACAAATTCCTAAAAAAAATATATGGTAAATTTACATACCTTGTCATTGGTCATTTGCAAAATTATTTTGTTAAAAACATTCTGATTGTACACACCGGTACTCTGAGGTTGACATCAAAAAGATGTTTGGATTCCTGATTGACAATATTTAAGCGATGTTTGGGGACCAGGTATTCCATTGGAATTCCTATTGGTACCAATGGCGGCCTGTTATTAACAGACCTATTTTGTTATTCATATGAACAGAATTTGTCCAAAATCCTATACGTGTAAAGAATAAAAAACTTGCTGTGGCCTTCAACTTGACATTTGGATATATCGACGATGTATTGTCAATAAACAATGGTAATTTTCATTCTTATTCGA